GAGGAAGGCTGCGGCTGCGGGCGCGGGGGCGGGGCGGGCTGTGGGCGCGGAGAGGGGCGGGGCTGCAGGCGTGGAGGTGGAGCTTGGCGTACAGGAAGTAGCGCCCATACGCTCTGGGCGGTGGGCGGAGATCCGGGCGGTACCAATTGCCCCGGCCGCGGGGATACGACCTGGACCAGCCCACGGTCGGGGGTTAGTGCGAGCTGTCCCAGGACACTGGTCTCGCCGGGCGGGAGCCTTGCATTAACCAGTGTTTCCAAAGTGGAAGGGATGCCGTTTAAACGCCTCGAGATCCCCGGCTGCGAGGAGCGGCGCCCTCCCCACTTCAGTCATTTATTTCCCGCTCTGGTCCCAGTGGTTCCGGTCAAGGGGCGGGGCGGAGGGGCCCGGAAGAGGCGCCGTGCACTTCCGGGTCGAAGACCGCTCGGCGGCGGCGGCGGCGGCGGCGGCGGCGGCGGCCGGGCCTAGCAGCGAGTCTCGGTCGGGCAGCGGCGGCGACTGCTCGGGAGCGGCCGCGGGGCGGGAGGTTTCCGGGTACGTGAGGCGGCCGCGCTGGCCCTGGGCCCCTGCTCCTCCGGGCCGCGGGCCGCCTGTGGCCGCCGCGCGCTTTGTCTGCGGCCTGCACCGCGGGGCGAGGCCTGCGCCGCGCTGGCCGCGGGCCGGGAGGGCGGGTGCGCGCGCGCGCCGGGAGGCCCGGAGGAGACTGGGAGGCCCGTGGCCTGCGGGCGGACGTCCCGCGCTTGAAGAGACGTGGTGGGCTCGCCCCGTGGCGCCCGCGCCCGTGCCCCCTGCGAGTCCGCCCTGCCGCGTTCGGGAGAGCGGTGCCTCCGCCGTCCTGATTCCGGCTCCTGCTCGTGGCTGCCTCCGTGGGCCTCGGGCCTTGTCCGCGCGTCCGCGGGCCTGTGTGGCTGGCGGGCTTCCTGTCCCAGGACTCTTGTCGTGCTCAGAGCAGCCTCTCGGGAGTAGCCATCGTTCCCGTGTTACAGATGAGGGGGGCGCAGCCCGGAAAGGCCAAGTAACCGGCCGGCGCCGCGCAGCCGGGAGGGGCAGAGCCGGCGGCCGTGGGTCCGCGCCAGCCCGGACTCCGATCGCGCTCTTCGTAACGAGGCTGGTGTTCCACCTGCGTCCGAGTTCATGTGCTTTACGTGTCTCGACAGCAGCAGAACGGCAGTCATTGGCCCAGGGGTCACTGGACAGGCTTCGAGGCTGCAGCGAGGTTTGACCTCGGGCTTGGCATGGTTGACCCCTCTCCTGGAACACCCGGCTTTCCTTCCTAGGGGAAGAACTTGTTAAGTCAGAGTGCCGGTAGATGACCCCTCTCGGCCCCGTGGGCACCGCCAGCCTGGGTTTGGTCCTCAGCAGCGCTGCAGCGTGGTGTTCGTCTCAGGCTCGCAGAGACCTTAGTGCGTGCCTGACTTTTTGACTTGCGTTGAAGTTTACAGTTTTGAGGTCTCTTAGCTGATACAGCCAATGGTGAATAAGAGGAAAAAATCGGCCTGAATTGAGATGTTGGACTTCGCTGCAGGCTTCTTCAGAGCCTGGGATAGGCACGCAGGTTCCAGGACTGGCGTGGTGGCAGCCACCACGGACACCAGAGGCCCTTTTCATTCCTTAGCAACAGTCAAGACTGCCAGTGCATTGGTTCCCCGGAATTTGAAAAGAGAGAGAACTATCCTTTCCAGTTTTTTCTTTGTCCCTTTGATCTCCCAAATTTGGAGGCTAAGCAGGAGAGCCACAGGGGCCCCTCCACCCAGAGCTCTGCTAGCCCTGGCCAAGTGGTCAGCAGCTGGGAAGGGCAGTGGGCTTTTCCGCAGAAATGGCTTCCTGGCCTGTGGCCTGGGACATGGCCGAGGTGGGTGTGGTGAAGGGAAGATGTGTTTGAACCAAGGCTGCTAGTGCAGCCGTAAGGCAAGAAGCTGAGGGCTCCCATTAACGCAGTGTCTTGACTGCACGATTTTTGGTGGTCCCAAAATATCTTGTGCCTGGTGCTTGTGCTCTGGAGGGTGCCTGCAGATGTGTCCTGGATTCTTTTCTCTTTGGCAAAATAGCCTCTGGTTACTGCTGTGTGATATTCCAGGGAGGAATGTTGTTCAGTGTCGTGTAACCTGACCTTCCCGCTGCCGTGGTGGAGGCCTCCCTCACCAGCTGTGGTCAAGTACAAAGGGCTCAGGACTTAGCCCCACAGGTGCACACGCTCGCAGAGTTCAGCTTTATTCCTGAGTTGGTATTTCTGGCCAGGTCCCATGTGCCAAACCCCACATGACCTTTCTGATCTTTTCTGTCAGGCCCTGCCATTGCCTGCCACCTACCTAACCCTTGGTGGTGATCCTCAATCTCAGTGCATCAAGGGAGAAGCCAGGAGTTACTTGTTCACATCTTACTGCTCACTGCGGCCTCAACCTCCTGGGCTGAAGTGGTCTTTGCATCTCAGACTCCCAAGTAGCTGGGATTACATACAGGTGGTCTCCACCACGCTCAGCTGAATTAAAAATTTTTTTTTTTTTTTTTTTGAGACGGAGTTTCACTCATGTTACCCAGGCTGG